GGGTTTCTCCCTGAGCAGTTACCCTAAGGTCCTTCTACTTCTTCGGGGCCTGACTTGTGGAGAAAGCTCCTCTTCGGGTGCTGGGTGACAGTGCTCTTGCTCAGGGAGGGAACCCAGAACACCTCCAGTGTCCCTGATTGGTTGATCACAGTAGGGGTAGGGGCACACCCAGAAAGTTAGTGCTTGAGATTTTTTTAAAATATTACTTTTTTGGTTATACAAATCAGATCCTTCACTTTGGAATATTTTAAAAATACAGATAATCAAAAATAAAAAGGAATCCCTGACAATTCTGTGACTTCAGTTGTCACAGTGATCATTTTAGTTCTTGTCCTCCAAACTTACTCTTGAAAACTGTTTCTAATCTTTCACTTTTCACCTCAGGAAACTTTAAACATAGCTGCAGAGAGGCCACGTCTGCCCTCCTACCCGCCTCACACTACTTCCCCTCCGGGTGCGCTGCCCTCTGAAGCCCGTGTAGGCGTCCTGTCACTTTATCTGTGTTTCCATGTGTCTCTCTCAAGAGTGGGAACTCATTTTGAGAAACTAATAATGCCATTATGTCATCTGGTAACAGATGCAAAATGATCTTTCTGTGTGTATCAGCAAGTCAGTGTTAGGACTTCCTGGCCCATGATTTTCCTTGGCAGCTGCTGCAGCCAGGTTTTATGTGGGTCCCCTCATCTGGCAGTAGATGCCTCGGATCCAGATGTTTTGCAGTCTTCTTCCCTGTGGAAGTTGTAGGGAGCACTTGTCTCCCACCTGGGTTTCACGGATGGGTGTTGTTTGGCTCTTTGGTCCATGTGTAATCTGTTTATCCCTCAAATTGCTGTGGCCTCAGGCTCTCTAGGATTCGGACATTTTGTTTGACCAAGTGATAGTCTCATCTCTTGGGGATATCAGTGGGATTTCAAGGTGCTGGTGGTCCACAGCAAGTGGGTCTGTGCAGTGGATCAGAGATCTAGAGATGGAGCTGCTCTGGTGGGCGGAGTGGCCCAACCCTGTCCCTCTTCAGGGGCTTGCCTCTGAGGCCAGTGGGCACAGCCAGTGGGCTCCATTGCGCCCTCGTTAGCAGTTTGCTGTTGCTGAGATGACCTTGCCTTTGAGTTCTGCTTCAGGGAAGGCCTGTGTTTCAGTTTTCCTTCCTGTGGTTTACTTTCTTCTGGGCCCGTTGGGCATCCTGTGCTAGTAGAAATGCCAAAAGCAGAGCTCAGAGAACACCTATAAAGTGAAGCTTTTCTCTTTTTTATCTCAGAAGACTGTCTTATCCCGAAGTCTGTTTGAATTCTGGGATGAGGTCTGTATGTGGTTCTGACCCAGGAAGTGTATCCCTTTGTGGGCCTGGGTAGGAGACCCTCCCAGTGTGGTTCTGTGCAGCCTGGCACAGCAGTGGCCAGATAGTGAGGCATCCCCACAGCCTTGCAGGTCCTCAGGGGAGCGGAGCTGGGAAATGCTGACCTGTGTAGATAGGAGCTGGGGACCTGGAGACCTTTGAGCTCTCGCTCTAGGGTGCAGCGTGTAGGTGGCTTCCACACTGTGAATGGTGCACCTGTATCATCCTCCACACTTTTCCTGTGAGAGGGAACACAGCCTTTCTCATGGGAAGTGAGTCTCAGTGCTGCTAATAGTGATTCAGACAAGGAGAGCTGGGGCTCCTCCTGCCATACACCCACAGGCTGAGGAGGGTATGACTGGCCTCACCCAGAGCCTGGCTTCTCAGTCTTGAGCTGTGCTTCTTCCCACCCCGCACCCTAGTGCAGAAGTGCATTAAATGCTGGAGCCCAAGGCTTCTGGGACTCAGAAGATTAAGAAACAATGCTTTATCAGAATTTCCTTACACATTCAGGAAAAGTCTGAGATCTGCTCAAAGGCGTGAGTTTGGAGTAGGCGTCGAGGTGCTGAGTGTGCTTGCCTCCTAGGGCTGATGTCTGGGGAGGGGCAGTGTCTGATTCTCCGCAGGGATGAAGCTGTGATTACTGGGGTCCTGAGGCTGTTCGCTTCCAGGTCTGCACATGTATTTTCTTACTGTCTTGGGTCTTACAGGACCCGTGTTCTGTGCAATCAAGGGATTGGACTTTATAAGTGACTATTCTGAACAGGGCCAGAGAATGATGACTGACACACATCTGACAATATTGGTGACAGTGGATGTCACCCCACAGTGGCTGACCATAGCCCCTGGACAGCTGGCCTCTGTGGACAGGGAGGCGGGCCTCAGGTGTATACTGACTGGCCTGGGGTCTCATTATGTTTTTAGTAAGACACAGGGAAGATACCAAGTGGATGCTAGAAGTCTAGATAGTTCCAGAACCTTCACTACTAGTGGAGGAGAAGGTATTTATTTTATTTATATTTATTATTCATACACCATGTGTTATCTTCAGTTTTGCCCATGTATATCAGTATTGTATGAAGATGGGAATGGAAGCTCAGGGAACCATTACTGGGGAAGGGCATTGGCAGAGGTTCAGATAGATCAGGACTTATGCTGGAACTGGTTGGCAGAGGAGCTGTGTTACTTCCTAGTGCCTCGAAGGAACACAGGGCTAACGGGTCAGGCACTTCGAATACTCACATCCTTTGACTATGCACCTGCACTAAAGAAGAGTCAGGGAGCTGTCCCAGTTTAATCCTGTGGCTGTTCATGTCAATAACATTTCTAATACAAAGCACTGGAAGCAACCCAAGGTCCAATAATAGAGTAATAATTATTTACGTGATCAGATGTGATGCTGTGATTAAACCATTTGTGAACAATATGCCTCATGCTCAAATACGATCTTTCTTTACAGGAACAAAGCCAGCACTCAGGAGGCTGAGGCAGGAGGATTGTCATGAGTTAAAGGCCAATCTGCACTACATTGTGGGACTTTCTCTCAAAAAACAAAAGACCAAAACAAAACCCAAAACCAGAATACTAAGCTGTATATTTTTTTGTGAAGATATATCCCTTTTTATATAGAAATGTTTATGTATCTTTACTCGGGTGTTTGAATGACACCTCTGGGTGACAATGTAGGTTAAATGATAAGTAGGACTTCAAATGGCTTCTCTTGTACCAACCCAGGGGACCTTAGGGACTTGTGCAGCTTCAGGATTTCTTGGTTACATTGAGTGTGACTTTTAAAAAGATAGAATTATGTGAAAGATGAGCTTAAAGTTGGAAGTCAGGACCTGTCCCAAGTTCAGGTCCTCAGTAGGTGAACCCTAGCTGCTGAGGCTAGGGCTGGCTGGGGAAGTCTTTTGGTGGCAGCAGAAGCTGTAGCCCTCTTTGCCGTGTGGGACCCCCAGAGGGCAGCAGGTGGGGGTAGAAGGGCCGCCTAACCCAACTTCGCTCTTCTCTAGCCTTGGTCCTTTTCTCTAATCTGAGAAACAGGTTTGCATTTTTGTTTTGTTTGTTTGTTTGTCTTTTGGTACCGGTGATCGAACTGAGTACCTTGCACTTGCAAGGCAGCCGTGGTGCCACTGAGCTAAATTTCCATACCCCATTTGCATTTTTTATGGAGCTGCCAAATTCATGCTGAAAATTTCCAACCAAAACTAACAATCTTCATTTTCCATATTACAGTATTTGTTTTGTAAACCATTATTACTGTGACCTGTACACACATTATGTTATAAATCTATAGGCGATTCAACAGCAAGTTACAAAATTATTCTTGTGTACTAGTCAAGTGCAGAAGGAAAGATGGTCACCTTCAGGAAAGATGGTCGCCTTTGCCAGAGAGAGAGGCGCTGGACATTCCCTCTTCCCTTCTCTGTGTCTCTCTCTGTGTCTGTCTTTCTTTGTCTCTGTGTCTCTTTCTGTCTGTTTCTGACCAAGATGATTACTCCTTGCTCAGTAAGTGCCTTTGCATGTTCAGTGGCCCCCACACTTGTGCCCTTTCCACCAGTCAGGAAGCAGGGGTCATCACTGCAGAGCCACCCTTGGTTTTCCAGCTCTGCCCCTGGCACTAGGAACCAGGCCCCTCACCTTGCTGGGCCTCCCTCCCCTCCCCAGCAGTGGCAGCTGGCCTTGACTCTCTGTAGAGTGGCCTGCCCCAGGACGCTGTCCTCCCTCCTGGCTAGGCCTTCTGTTCAGCCACTCTTCCTTCCGCCTGGCAGCACTGCCGGAAACTGGGCCTGCAATGAGATAACCCCACACAGGAAATGGCCCGACAGCCACAGCCGTGAAACTGCTCTGAGGACCAGCCACACCCAACCTGTGCTGGGGACTTTCTCTGTTCTGGGCGGACACAGATTCTCATCACAACTTGTACCCAGTGTGGGGGGCCGGGTCAAACACGGGGGTTTTGTGCTGGACTTCCAGGTCACTTTGCACCGGGTCAGAATAGAGTCAGCGTTCGCTCCAGGCAGGTAGGCTGTGAGCATTTGTTTGTCCTTCTCCTGGCTCTGGGCAGAAGTTGCCAGTGAATTGGTGGCTTGAGGGAAGTTGCTCCCAGAGCAGCTGGCCGGGGAGGAAGCCACCGAGGCGTGACTCCCAGGAGGTGACCATCTTTCCTACAGGGCACAAGGCTGTGACTTTGCTCCCTGGCTGGCATCTACAGGCTGTATCTATACCTCCTCCGTGGTACTGGGCGACGGGTTCAGTCAGCATTTTAAGATTCTGGTTGAGGCTACTCAGAGACCAGGATCATGGGCTCTGCCCATGGTGAGAAATCTTGTTTGCTTGGCTTGTGCCTCTGATTTTAAGAAGCTTTTCAGTCAGGAACTCATCTTGTGAGGAAGTTTAGATAATTTACAGAAAGTTATCATGAAGGAAGGAAAACATTTTGATCGTGGTGTGAAGAGCTGGCAAGCTGTGGTCCCACATGGTGATAAAGTGGTCACTGACTCTGCACTACTCAGGTCACTCAGTCAGGGCGCCACCCCTCCTGATGGGTGCTAGGGATGTAAAGTGGAGGGTGGCTTCGAGTTGTGGCACAAGGCATGCACTGAGCCCCGTGGTTGGAGAGCACATCCACCGGCCCGGCCCTTACTGTTTCCCTCTTCCTTTGCAGCCCAACTCTGCCTGCTCTTGACTGGCAGCTGCCGTCCCACTCCGGCCCCTATGAGCTGCGGATTGAGGTGCAGCCCAAATCCCACCACAGAGCTCACTATGAGACGGAGGGCAGCCGTGGTGCCGTGAAGGCATCAGCGGGAGGACATCCCATCGTGCAGGTATGGGGGCCGCTAGATCTGAGGCTCACGTGAGCACTGGTGCTTCTGACCCAAGGGCCAGCTGCAGAGCAGCCGCGTGTGTGGCTTCCCCCACCCTCATCCAGTGCAAGCGTTGCCTCTGACCAGTGCGGCTCATGTTACCCACAGTATGTAGGGAAGTCCCACACTTCTCCGCAGTGTTGATGCTTCTTGACTTAGGACAGAGTTACGTCCTGATGAACCCATTGCACATTCCCCTCTGGTCTTGAGGACTGCACTCCCCTCACAGCCCTTGCCCAGCACCATGACAAGGGAGTGCACCCCTTACTGCTATTCCAGGAAGAAGGCACATTCAGAATTCAAAGTATCATTCTTCTGAATGCATATCTATCTGCAATTGCTTAAATACCATTGTAAAACTAGAAGATTATAAGGTGAATTTTGTAAGTCAGGGGTCAACTGTGAAATCGCAAATGGAAGGGAAGACCCTATGGCTCTTGCCCTTACAGGTCATCCACAACTGTTTTAAAGGTTTGCCCAAGGCAGGCATGTCTACATCTATGCCCCCGAGGACATCGACGTACCAGGTGGATCATTGTTATGACTGCATTCTTTCCTGGAGCAAGGGTTCTCCAGATGTGCCCTCAATCACCTGCCTCACCTCATCTGGGCGTTTGGTAGAAATGCAAGTGCTGGGATAGGACCCTCTCTGGGTGTGGCCTGGAGGCCTGTGCTCCCACCCTGCAGGCTGGTGTCTGAGGGGCAGGCAGTGAGGTGGAGGCTGCCCAGGGAAAGGTGGTGAGCCAGGCCACAGCCATACCTGTGCTGGGTCCTTTGCTGCAGACCAGGATCTCCCGGTGGTGGCCCTGGTGACATTTCCCTACCTGACTAACACCTCCGGTAGGGAACAAACTCATTTGCTGTAGAGCTAGAACATCCATCAGCAATGGCTGGGAGATACGTTGTTGATTGTGAGGGGCCAGTATGCTCACCAACCCATTTCTGTCACTTCACTAGGATATCAAAGTGAAATCCTGATCAGTGATGTGATTGCTTCCCTTTGTCATGCCTGTCACCTCATGGGCTTTAGACCCACCCCCCAGATGTTGCTGTACAACAGCCACTGAGAGGCCCTTTTGCCCTCTGGCCAGGTCTCCAGCCATGAAGTGTTATAGAGAGCCCTTTCCCCAGTGCCCTCAACATCACCAACCTGGTGCCAACCCTGCTATTTAGGGAATGATGCAGGCCAGAAGGGGTGCTCAGCAGGGCAACCTGTATTTTTATTTTATTCCATTTAGGTAAATAAAAAGCTTGTGAGGGCAGGAGGCCACACAGACAAATGGCTGTTTGCCAACGCAGCAATCAGCTACATGGAACTATCCAGGCAAGGTGAAGAAATGAAGCACTTTAGCAGTGCTTGCAGATGATATTAAGGTGATATTTGTGGCCTGTGTGCTTGATGGCAATTAATACCTACTTTGTTAGCTGCTTGATGTGAGAAAATGCAGGAGACACATCAGTGCACAGCAGCCAGTTTGACATTTTAAGTTTCTGCCTTCCCAGGTGGAAAAAAGTCAGATAATGCCTGCATTTAGTTGTGCTAAATAACTATAGGTATTTACCTACTCCTTTTTGCTATGGTTTTCACTGAATGAAAGTGCATTATTGCTGAATGGAAAAGATATTAAAAAGGAGAGGAAATAAGACTGTTAAAGAAGGAGGCATGAAAATAAGCAATAAAGAAATAATGGCTAAACACCTCCCCATTTATTGTAAATTATATCAGCAAGGGGTGCTGGCCCTGGGGCTGATGGTGTAAACACTGAGCCTTCCTCATGAAGGGCAGAGCATTGGACTCTGGTCTGTGCCTTTGTAGCATTTGATTTCATGGTGGTCGTAAGAATCTTGGCTGCCTTTTGGAGATTACAGTGGTGATGAGTGTGGGGCGTCCTTGAGTCTTAACAGACCGGTTTCCACCTCCGGCCAGGAGCCCCAGAGACTGCTGCCAAGCACCTTCCATGCTCTGGCACCCGCACAGCGTGGCTCCATGCCTGGGGCATCGGCTCCATCGACAATGCCCCCCGCCTTGGGCACCGGATGTGACATTCATCTGTCACTCTAGACAGTGTTGGGGAAATTGACATTTTAAAGGAGTTATGAATCTTGAAATTGTCATTTAAAATTTCTCTAATAATGCATGCTCAAAGTTCTTTCAAGTCAAAGAGTGCATGTAGTGGAGGGTGAGAAAAAGACTGATGAGATGCTTCGGTAGAGCGATCGCCACCACTTCCTTACAGCTGAAACAATCCCTGAACAGAAAAGAAGGCCAGGATCTGTCATCATTGCTCAGGATGAGAAAGTAGCAATTTAAAGAGTTTTTCTGATGTGTCCCTGCTGCGTGAACTCACATCTGTGCTGGTGTGAGGTAAGCAACTAAAAAGAGGGGGTTTTGGGGTTTTGTTTTCTTTTTCGGTTGGTGGACCACAAATTGGACAAAAATAGAATTTGCACATAATTATAAAACGTACAAAAATAGAAAACTCTCTCAGTTGCTACGAAAGCTCTGTAACCACAAGGTTCTGTTCTGTGCTGTTGAGTTATTTTGGCACATCCTTTGACACCAGCCTCCCCGATGCCCAGCCCTCCTCTCACTTCCAGAGGTGGGTTCGTGACACAGTGGCCCTGAGCACGGCCACGGCTCAGTCCTCCTGTTAGGGCACAGCTGGCCCCGATGGGCTGTCTCCTGGCCAGTGGACACTGTCACAGCCTCAGCTGTTCAGAGCCACCGTCTTGTGGGAGCTGTGGGAGCCCTTGCATGCTCAGAGGTGCTGGTCTCTCTAGTATATTTTCCCTCTGTGTTTCACAAAGATTGATGGTACAATCAAAGCTAGTGATCGATCTGTGGCAGTGATTGCCTGGCAGTGGCCCAGAGGAAGATTGGAGGAGGAGAGAGGGAAGACAGCCGCCTGCCTCTGATGCCATGGGTAGGTGCAGATGAGGCAACCCCTCAGCACCTGCTGCCTTGTTTGCCACAGGAAGCAAGGAGGAATGCACCACAACAGCCCTGTCTGGGTGGACTCAGAGGTTGCAGCATCTCAAATTAGGGATGGGTGTTACTGTCTGACCCAGCCTCCTTTGTGTAGAGGACTTGCCCCAGCCCTTGGCTGGCCATGGAGCATTCAGGACCTCTTCTCTGATTTCCAGTGTTTGGGGTTCTGCTCTTAGGGTTTTTTACCCTTCACCAGGGACAGGGTCCCTTCTGCCCTTCCATGAATTCGTCTTTCTTATGCTGGGGAATAACTGAAGTGGTCTCTGGGTCCTGCTGGCCATTAAGTCGTTACCAAGGTGCCCACACTTGCAGACCACCAGCTTTGTAGCCATAGGATTAAAAACGCCACACCAGCAGGGAAACAGACAACACCTGAGCAGGACAAGGTGAGGCCCTTGGCCCATCCAGCAGCTGTCAGGCTGGCCTGCAGTTTACAGGGCAAGTTCGAGACCAGCTCTGTAGCCCCTGCGTGGACCTGGCAGCCATGGTGCCAGCTCCCTTCACCTCTGATGGCATTTGTCCTGCAGGAGCCACCAGAGGCAGGGGCTCCAGAGTCTGCCTCCAGAGCTTGCAGTGGCCCACTTCATTGTTCTGTCCAAACCAATGAGAAAAGGATGGTGGAGCTATGGAACTTTGACACTTAACTTTTCCTCAGTGGAGCAAATGCCTTGATCTGTCCATCCTAAAGGAGACATCTGGCTAGGACTTCCAGCTCCCCTTACAGGATCCCCCTTGGTGAAATGCCAGGTCCCTCTTGCAGGGCCCTTCCTGGCCTTGGTCCCCCTGGCTAACAGTTCTCTGGGCCAGTTCTCTGGTTGGTATCACGATGAGCCATAGCTAATGGCAGGAGACCTAATTCTCCTGACCTGGATAGATGATGTCTAGGTTGTCCTGAAACCTGTCCTGGAGGTATGGTGGCAGCCTTCCTTGCTCCCTCTCCAACCTGCGTCAGTGTGGCCCACCCTGTGTTAGTATGTGGAGCTCTACAGGGGTGGAGTCTGATCTCTGAGCCTAGTCGGATCACAGGATTCAGCTCTGCTTACTTATCACCAAAACAGCTTGCCCGATAGCATGGGCCTATCAAGCAGGAGGCTGGCTCTACATGAATAATTAATAGGCCACTGAAACATGAAACACCCGAACCTGGTCAATTCCTGAACAGCATTTTAGGTTTGCAGTTTGTGACCCATCTGTTAGGATAGTGACCAACATGGTCCCTGTCTAGCTCATGAAGGATTTTTTTCTTCTAAGTTCTTTTCTTGGTACATTTTAGGTATACAATTCGTTTACATTTATCTTGGGTGTTTGTACCTTTACATGATGCATCTTGGTTCTTATTTTTTCCCCATTCCCTGTGCGCCCTTCACCCCCTCCACCCTTCCCTATTTACACAGACATCATTTCCATTTTTTTTTTCTTTTCTCCTAGTTTTTCCTTTCCCTCTTTTCCTTTCCCCTTCCCCTCCTTTCACTCCTTCGTCTTTGGACCTTTTTTCCTATTTCAAATAATCAGTTATTCATTTTAATCATTTTAACCCTTGTGTACACTATCAGTTTCTCACACTAGAGAAACTATTCGGTATTTACACATGTGTGTCCTGTTTATTTCACTTAAGAGCATGGCCTCAATATGCATCCATTTTAGCTCATGAAGGATTTGACCTAAAGAGTCGTGGACCATGGCCAGGCAGGGGCTATGAGCAGGTGACCCTGTGATTTGCCCTGCCATGTGGGTGCTTGGGCACAGGCAACAAGGTGGAGCACCATGTGTCAGGAGGGCCCGAAGGGAATGAGTGGGGAAAGGAGGCCGGACAGGAGGGTCTTGCTGGGGCTAGGTGGTCCTAGAGACTCTCCTTCTTGGCTTTTAGGTCAGCTTTGCCACCACAGATCCATGGAAAATACCTCTCTCATCACACAAGAAGTTTGCCGGCTGAAGACCAAAGAATGGCCCCACCAGGAGATGACTCGTCTTT